GGTCTTTTATTATGGAAATAAATTAATATTTGTATTAATTGTATCATACCATAGACATAGAAATACCTTCTAAATGACAACTACTCTGTAACTTGTTTAGGGTAGCATTGTTTATTGTAGCAATAAGGGCTTAAGTTTTATATTTCTAGTTACAAGGTTTTCTTGGCTACATCTTGAATTCATTAGAATATTGCATCATTTGTTGTGTATTATTAAAATATTTGGTTAGAAAGATCCCGAAGCATGTGGCTGACTTGCATCTCACTTGTTATGCTATTTAGCTCCACTGACTTCCACAAAGACATTCCTTATTTTTCTGACAAGCCCTACACAGCTACAGCACCAGGCCAAAAAATGCACAGAACTGGATGGAGCAGAGAGGAGATGTTGGCATGCAAAACAAGGCGAACTTAACATGCACACAGAAAGTGCCAGGGGGGCTGGAGTGTTCATCCAGTACAGCTATCTGAGAGTCCCAGCCTGAAAATGCGGAATCTCGTTTTGTTTGCTTAGAAATGACAGGTTGAATCAGCACTGCAGGTTTGAAATATATCATCACTGGAAGTCTTAAGGATTTCTAACCAGGGGTTCAGTGTGCACTGCCCTGCTCCACGTTGCCTTGAAACTTTAGACAGTGCTGTGCTGATACGGTGGGAGAGTTGCAGTACGTATTTGATATACATTATCAAGTGTGGTATGTTCATGTGAAGTACAGCAAAATGGCATTTTTTACCTAGAAAAAAAACCCAGGGAAAGTGTTGTTATACCAGTGATTTTTAGAGATGTATTAATGTGATGAAGAGGTACACAGACTTAGAGCCTATAGGCTTCTGGGTTTTACTTTCTGGAGAGAAGTAAGAGCTCAGAATCATCCTGACTTCTTGCAAATACTTTTCTCATTACTTCTTACCTTATAGCTGCCCAGAGACATTTATAGGTTTTGAGTTCAGGTTTCTATGTTCTGTTAAGTTCTTCCTGTCTTTGCCCCCCCCTCCCTTTTCTTTTTATCTGTTTTTGGCCCCTGATCTGAAGAAAATTAGAGAGGATGGTGGTGGGGAGAAGATCGGACAGAACTCTGTTTCACAGTTGTTCCTTTTTTTTACAAGTTAAAGCCCACAAAAGAAACATGAATGTGTCTCCATCTTTTAAGCATCTGTCCAATCACTACCAGCCCACAGATCAAAAGATTATCTGAGGAAATAGCTACACATTTTTGTATATATTTTAGGGCTCCTTTCTTCCTTTTATTTTATTTTAATACAAAATTAAGGACACTCCAACATGTTGCCCATAAGAGTTCTGTTACAGGTAATTAAATGTAAGTTTACACATTTAATCTACTTTCAAGAGCAAGAGAGACTGGTAAATGACCCAGTTAAGGAAAGTACTCAGCCTAATTGGATGTAATGATTGCTTGCTGGTGTTTATTACTGTACTAAGAGTAGACTTGTAGTCTGTGATTCTAATTTGGTTTAAAGACAGACCTGTAGTATATGCAGCTATCATCAGAGTTCGATTGTTTCATTTAACATCATGAAACAGGCTTGTGTTCATTTGGGAGCTAAAATGTATTAGAATGGAAAGAGCACTGTTTTCTCAGTTAATATTGCTGTCCAATTATCTCTCCAGACTGTTTTACCCACAAAAATATCTTAAGCTAGATACACTAGTGCATATTTTTGCTTGAGGAAAATAAAGATACATTTCACATTTCTGCGTGCATAATGCAACAGGTTAACAGTGACTAAATTTACCAGTAAGCTGATTCCTTCTGATTTATTTGTGAATATTGTCATCAGCCTGGGACATCATCCCATTAATATTTGATTTTGATTATTTCTGTGTAATTCTAAAAGAGTTGAGTTCCTCTCTAATGTAAAATCATTGAGAGTTGAATCAGAGTCCCAAAATTTTAGATTTCATTAATGCTTGTTACTAAAACTTCCCTAATTATAGACACCTTGTTGCAATTTGCACTCACAATTCTAGGCTTCCAGGAAATGATATCGAAGTGGAATGTGTTGTATCCCAGGGTGTTTATCATAGAAGATATTTGTTGCTTAAAAATAGAACACTGGATTTTATGCCCAGAGGAGCAGCACTTGGACTTCAAAACACTTACGTAATTATTCTTTATTTCATAAGCTCTCAGAATGATAAATGAAATCAGAACTGACTTTGAAAAGCAAGGCCACTGATGACCAGTGCACTTAGCCAAGGTGTCTCTGTGTCCACTATGATGGATTTGGGAGTTTTATAATATAATAGATCATACACAAAAATGAAGTTAAAGCAACATTAAAGTCACAAAAGCAAGGATATTCAGCATGGGGACTTCTGCTTCATCTTAATTCACCCTGCTATGCCTAGTTGTTAGAAAACACAGATCAGTAAGGTATGTTAACTATTTTTATGCTATTACACAGACATAGCAAGGTAATTTAATGGCAGCTTTAATTCTAACTGACTTCATTTATTGCGAAGGAAAGAAAAAAAAAACAACCACCCCTATTATTTTGTTGTATCTTTCAATACGTATAATTATTAACAATGCTTTACTAGACTCTACTGTGCTAGTAGAAGTTCTCCTAAGGTCATAGAAAGATCATTTGCCTATTGGATGTGTGCAGAGGGTAATATCTTTATAATGTAGTATGTGTTCCAAAGCCATGCTGTCTTCTTCTGAAACTTCAGTACTTCAAAATACGAGATTATTGCTCCTCTTGAAAATACGTAAAGCTACAGAGACAGAATGTATGATCCAGGTAGAGATGCAAAACTGTGATCGGGGAGGAGGGGGAGCTGAATTCCTTGATTTATTTGGGGTTTTAGACTTACTACTTGCAGAAACAATAGAATAAGAGCTCATAGTGCAGTACTTACCTGCAAGTACTAGAGGGAGCTGAGGGAAGGAATCAAGACAGGAAGAAGGGAGAAAGATAATGGTGAGAACTCATTTCTGTTAGTTTGCTTAAATAGAGTCTTACTTGATGCCAACCCCCATTTGCAGCATTTGAAATATAATGTCTGTGCATTATTCACTCTCTGTGCCCAAACACACACATTTGTATGCATATGCTAGTGTCTGCTGTGTATTTAACGTAGAACATCTGTGTGTGCCCATGCACACTGGGGAAGGAAGCAGGTTAGTTTATTACAGTGTGTCTTCAACAGAGTTACCATTTTGTTCATTGTTTTAGTATTATCTAGAACAAATTATATATGTCTTCTTATGAAATGGATGAATACACGCTGCTCATCTGGCAGAGTTTAAAGTAAGACCTCTCTTTCTTGATTTCCAATTCAAATTAATCCTGTTAAAATTACTAAAAAACATTGCTCTTGAAGACTATCTTAAGAGCACAACACAGCATTGAAGCACATTTCTAAATAGCTTTCTTAACAGTATAGAGAGTAGGATGCACTGAGAACTGACTGAAGCCTGTTCTTTAATTGGAATATTCATCTTATGTTTTTCATTACGCTTTTTCCTTTGCCTCTCCATGGATGGTTGTTGCTAATGCTCCCCTCCCCTCCTGGTGGGCCAGCCAACAGTTCCCTCTGGAGGCAGCATCATTATATCTGCCTGGTTCGCTTAGTAGCAGATGGTGAAGAGCAGTAGAGCTGATACACTGCATTTCACAGAAACCAGGATCCTTCTGGTACCACTGCAGCATACACAGACTTGCCTGATTTGAGACTGTGAATTCTTTATATGCCTCCCAAACTAGGTTTCCTTGTTTGCTACTATGTACATCAGTATAAGAATGATTTTTATGATCTGCTCTGTTGCTGGACAGTGAAGAAACTACTCATCTCCAGCTTTCAGCTACTGGAGAATCTATTTCCCATTTTATTTCTATTTTTACCAAAAATTAAAAGCAAACAGCTCTGATGGTTTTCATTTTCACTGGTTGACAGGCTTTTCTTCCCCCTCCCCTTTTTTTAATTTTCTCTTTCTATCAACAGGGCACCTG